CTGGATGATGGGGGGGAAAACTTGATTTCTCAAAATGGGCTGTCATCTGATAGTCTCTCTCTAAACTCTGTCAAGTGCCTGGATGACGAATATTGAACTGCCAGATGGCAGTAAGAAAGCAGCTGGCATTTGGCTGTGAAGTAGATAGTCTAATGATTAATCAGGTGGCATTCTATCTTCTGTATAATAAGTCAATTAACCTTATCTAGTTTGGTTAAACTTCTCTCACTGTGTACATGACCACCCTCTTCCTTCACCATTCTTTTCTGTGTCCTTCTGCAGGTGAGACAAATCTGAGCAGTGAGAAGGATGCACCCACCCCTGTAACAAGAGTTGCATCTCTTGGATCAACGGTCAGGCTCTTCTTGGTTTCTGTAGCACTGTCAAATTCCAGCTAGATCTTGCTGTGACGGGTTAAATCATGTAGCCCCTCTATACAACTACTGTTAACCTACCTGAGTAAACTATGAAACACACTGTTGTGCCTATCTTCCTTAGTAACTAAGAAGGAAAAATGAACCTGCAGCATCTTTGGGAATCACATGATGATTACTTTGGGCCTACAGAGTGGCTTGTTGTCATTGGTGTTACAATATCAGGGGTTTTGCCTCTTGCTCACCGTGTAACTGTGGTGCAGCTGCCTCTTTTTAAGAACATAGTGTTTTGGCTTTCCTATGGTGGACAGGGTGGAGTAGAAAGCTAGTGGTAGAAGAAACAGAGGGGATGGTACTGTTTGTGCGGGTTCTCAGTACCATGTGTGAGGATATGGTTTTGAAGAGGCATAGCTTAACAAGCTTAAAAATAATAACCCTGATTTACTACTTTATTTAACTGGTACTCATGATGTAGGATGAAATTCTGCAAACAAACCTGTGGTTAAGAGATATTTTTTATGGAGTTTAGGAGGTGGTAATGTCTCAAGCTTCCTTAATCTCCTTCCTGTCACAGTGGTTATGAGCTGTCCATTCACAGTAATGCTTATGAGAAAGTACAGTGGTAAAACCCATCCTAACCTGATCGTTGTCTGCCCTGTGTGTGTGGGAGAGATGTTTGCTTTTTGTTTTATGCGTGTGTATTTTTAATAGTATTGTCTCTAGGAAGGCATCCACTCTTGTATCTAACTGTTGTTAAACTAGTGTGCAGCTAGAGATCAGCTTAAATATTTCTAATGCATCTGTTTTCAAAAGCCAGCTAATGGGACTCGGAAGCCTAAAAAAGATCTTATTCTTATGAAAGAGAAAAAGAAGCAGAAGGCACTGGAGAAGGAGGTATGAATATATTGTGTGGGTGCAATCCTGTAATATGTTTCCCACTTACCATAACAAAAAATACAAGCTGGTAAATTAGCCTCTTTTGCGTAATGTAGTATATGCCTGCTCTGTGCAGACAGAGATTATCAGATGTTACAGTAGGTGGAAAGCATTGGGTTTGTTTGTGGAATGGCACCTCTGTGTACTAATCTATGCTTCCTGTGTCTCACATCACATTGTGTCTTTCTGTTCCACAGCCAAAGGGGAGAGTTGGCTTCTGTTGCAAGTTGAAGCCAAGACTATTCTAACTTTAACATGTTCTGCTGGCTCAGAACACCTGACAAATAATTCAGGTGAAATGCTAGGACGCTAATCTGGTGTGTAATGACAGGGAGTTCTGGTGGTTCTGTTATCTCTTTTCCTGTGAATGACAGTTGAAGATATATATTCTGAATGGAAGTTAATATGCTTTGGATGTTTAGCCTCTTCAAGAGAACCACAAGCATAAACTAATGATGTTAATTAAGAAGAATGATAGTAGGAAATAAAGAAAATGCCTCTTTTCTTTTAGATTCGTGCATTAGTGAGAGAGCGTGGAGAGCAGGATAAAAAACTTCAGGCTCTGGATGAGGATTTTGTAAAGATTGAGGCAAAGCTGAGTGCTGCAGTTCAGGAGAAAACATCTCTTTCGGCAAATGTTGCATGCCTAAAAAAACAGCTTCTGGAACTGACTAGAACCAACGAGCTCCTCAAGTCAAAGGTATTCAGCCAAATAAGTGCATATTTGCTTTGCCTTTGCTGTTGTTAAGCTCCCAGGGCAAGAGGAAACTTCAGTGGCTGATCAGTGTCTGCTTTCCTGTTCCCCGTGCCCTTTCATTGGCACAGGGACGGAGCGTCGCTGGTTTGGGATCTCGTGCACTTCTGTCTAAAGACAGAGCGGGATCTGCTGCCTTCCCAGACCTGCTAACAGGGTGGGTGGAGACAAGTGGTGTGGGTGGGAGGGGATGCTTTAAAGGATTGCGTGAAGAGTAATTCATGTGAAGGAGTTACACTTAGTGGTTTTATATTTGTCTCTAATAAGCTATCTGAAGATGGCATGCAGAAGAAAATGAGCAGCCTATGCATGGAGTTAATGAAGCTCAGAAACAAGAGGGATGCTAAGGAAAAGGTATGAGCATTTGCACTGCACAGAATAGTAAATCTGAGCTGTTCAGGAACAGACAATGAAGGACTTAGCACAGAACTGCAGATCATGTGTTGTTTATGTCCTTGGCTCGGTAGCTTCCTCTGCTTTTTGTAGAGTGAAAATAGAGAAAGAAAGATCAACCAACAAATGTTCTTGATTTTGCTGTTAATGTGCAGAGTAAATCGGAATTCAAGTAAGGAAGCCTAGAAGTACCTCTGTTACAATATCAATCTGTTGGGCAGCCTACTAAATTGTTTGAAAACCAGTGGTCCTAAGTATAGCTTGAAGCTCCTATATGTGTGTGTGTGGGTTTTGGGTGGTGGTGCTTGTTGTTTATACAAATGGATAGTGTTTTTTACAGATAGATACTCTGAATCACATTTAGCATAGTATCAAGCGCTATCATTAAATTGTAGTTATGAATTAATTTCAGTTTACCTCTGTCTCTTAGAACTGAATCTCATTGTGGTGGTAATATTTGTCTTTTGTTTTAAGACCGCACTTGCAAAGCAGGAAAACGCGGAGATGAAACTGCAGGAAGTACAAAAGAATCTAGAGCATTCAAAAGGAAAAGTAGCACGATTAGAAGAAAAACTGTAAGTAGTAAGGAAGGGAATTGACTTAAATAACATTATATCGTCTAGCTGGGCTTATAATGCTTACACCTTATAGTAGACGTGTAGTTTAGGGAAAATATAGGCTGTGTCCCTATTGAAAAGGGGTAGAAATTGTTAGTATTTGTAACCTGGAATAAATTTGATGGAATGAAGTTTTAGGAACTGTTGTGTTCTTGTAAAATGAACGTACAAAATATTGTTCCTCTACTATATCTAGCCTTTTTTCCAAAAGATGAACTCTACCCTTTCTATTCCACTGTGGTATGGGTGGAGTTTTCTTGGACATGTGACTTAAGAAAAGGATTGTTGTTCATCTTGGAGCAAGACATTCATGTAGATGGGATACTTCAGCGTCTGGTCCTCTACACTAGTAAGTTAGGAATAAGCAAGAATGAAAAAGCAGTGGGCTGGGAGCTGAGATCCTAATTCAGTAGCCAGGCACAGACACAGATTTGATGGACACATGCGTGTTCTCCAACGAAGTGTGCCTTCAAAGTTGCGTCCTAGTAGCCACATTCTCTGAAGACAGGCAACTGCAAAGTGTCTTGGCTCAAGCAGCTGTATGTAGGAAGAGAGAGTTCCAAATCAACTCTTTCTGTTCTGCCCAAATCATGTAATCTGCTGCCCAGGAACAGCACGATATAGGCTGTTTCTGAGGTTGGGAACTTGGCAAGGGTGAACTTGTAAGATACCTCACCTGTCAAGTTTGCATGACCAGCACTGCAGCATCCTTTTTATGCTTTCTGCATTTACTTGACATCCAAGTGCTCAAATATGAGCAGAATTTTTATAGTTCTGTTAGACTTAAAATACACAAAGCTTCCTACATGTAGGTAGGGCGATTCAGAAAGGGAGGAAATGATCCTTTGTCTAGCCAATGCAGCTGCTCTAGCATGCTTCCTTGTGGCAGAATATGGCTCAACATCTTCAATACAAGATGACCATATGGAACAAGTATCAGAAGAGGGTAGAATCACCTCTTGGAGCCAATAGCAGTTTGGCAGCCAAACTGCATTATGAAAAGTATGTGTTGCTACTAAGTTGTGATTCAATGGTTCCTTTCTACTTGCTTATTTGTAAACAAATAGCTTACAAGTAGCTCTGAATTTGTTTAAATACATCAATCACAAAAACTTGCTGGTTTTTAGGTCTGCTACTGAGAAAGTTGAAAAGTCTGACACTGAAAAACTCCTGGAATACATCACAGAGCTCAGGTAACAAATTGTTCTTGAGTTGGACTGGGTAAGTTAAAAGGCAGTAAAACTAAGCCTCACTTATGACTGGTGAAGTAGAACCTTGGCAACAATTCTGTTCAACAGTGGGAGGGAGAAAAGAAATCAGATATTTTTTCCACACAAAGGGAAGGAGTCATAAAATATTATTTTCATTATCTTTCTAAATGTCTGTTTTTCTGGGATAAGCAGTACTATGGAAGTGTTTTGTATCAGGGTCCTAAAATCATGGGGTTTTAGCCTGAGTTATAGTTACATAAATCAATCTAAATCCTTTTCCTCCAAGGCACTGGCAGTAATAATGTCTTTTAGTCCTCGCTTGTAAAACAAGGTACATAGAGCAAAAAATCCCTCAATGCACCTTCAGGTGAACTTTACAATACTCTGATTTGCATTTAAGAGTTGTGATGAATTATGTATAATGGGCATCACTCTGATTTTGAAAATTACTAATCCAGTGCTTTGTAACTGATTGAAACTCTAACCAGACTTCACAGTAATGTGTCCCTAGCTTAGAACATGGTGAAAATACAGAAGTATTTCAATTAAACTACATCACTCTTTGCCCCCACCACCACTAGCAATTTACTCATTAAGCGATACCTCATTAAATGGCTATAGAGCTCGAGATTCTGCTTACTCTTATAAAATATGGTTTATTAATGTGTATGCTTTTCTGTGAAAACTCAGCTTTGTAAAAAAAAAAACCAGGATGTAGCAACCATCTGTACATCAGTTACAGTGACTAATTCTGTTTTAGTCAAACCTTTTATATTTTATTTGTGTGATGTATAAGTTTCTCTTAAAACAAAACATCAGTGTTGAAATGAATAGGTTTTAACTTTCATTTATGTATTAATGTGCAAAAACTTGTGTCTGGGGAAGTTGGTGGAGGCAGTTTTCCTCTTGGAAACAATCAGTCCTAAACACTTTTCTTTTGTGCTCAAGTGTAAGCTTACAAACAAAATTTAGTTGTAACAAATACCTGAATTTTCTCCTACAGTAGTGCTGCAGAAACAGTTGAGAAATACAAACTAGAGGTTGCCCAGATGGAGGAGACACTGATAAAGAAAGACCAAGATATTGACATCCTGAGGGATATCCTCGAAACAAAAGAGAAAGAATCATTTAAACTGGTAAAAGAACTTAATGAAAGGTGTCAGTTGCTTCAACAAGAAAAAGGTAATGGTTAGTGCTTGTATGCTGTTCACATATGTGGGGTCACTGATGTGTCTTAAAGTATCTCAGATAGGTTTGTTCTAAAATGTCAGTTTAGACTGGTTTGTTCCAAGCTAAAAGTCATGCCTCTGAGCTCCAGCTGAAAACAGCTAGGCATATTTCTAACAACACGGAAACTACCTCAAATCTGACATCTGTTAAGTCTAAATTTGTTTTTCCATGGAGTGTTACTAAAGTAGATAGTATAGAATGAAAATGGTTCACATAGTAGGAATGGCTTTAATCTGAAAGGTGAACACAAATTACTTAGTGGTTCTCAATGAAGAGTGAGGAACATGGTATTGTCTCAATTCACTGTTAGCAGCTTGTGCAAAAGTTCATTGGGGTATTTGGAATGTGTCTAGGAACCCTTTTTAATCTGTTTTTTTTCCCCTCTCTCCCCCAAAACCAGCAGTTCTGTAGCCGGAACTGGTACTCAGTTGTCTGTGTACCAGTTGGCTTGTATATGCTAATATTGTAAGGAAGAAGCTTTGGGGAATTAAATCATGTAGTTGGTTTTGCCTAGCCATGCTGCTGTTCTGAGGAGGGCAGGTTGCTTTATCCAAAGATTCCTCCTGTTAAAATTATTTTTAAGTGGTGTACTTTCAGCCAATTGAGAGGAGTTTCCAGATGGGTTGAAGATGTGCTTTTGATATGATGTGGGGTTTGGGTTTGTGTGTGTTTCCCCCCCTGCCCCTTACCTAACTTTAAAGCTCGAATGGAAGTTTTATGAAAAATAGGTGTTGTAGTTCTTGAACATACGTAAGGGAAATTGTATTATATTGACGATTCCTCTATGCAGAGAAAGAGTTGTCTGAGACAAGAGGAAAACTCCTGAATATGAATGCTGAAATAGAAGACCTGAAAAAAAAATTTGACTTAAAAGAACAGGAACACCAAAACCTGCTTCAGAAACATGACGAGATGGTCTCTCAGCTGCAGCAAGAGAAGGTAAATACAAACTATAGATTAGTCTCAAAATAGACTCTAATCCCAGTGACTGACAGTAAAGGTTCTGATTTTGGTTACACATGAGATGGCTGCATTAATAATGGTCTGATCGGTGGAACGTACAAGTGGGTGCTGGCCAGCAGAAACCATGTGTGGTCCCATAGCTCTGAGAATCATAGCTGGTATGGTGGGTGTTTTGGTTCTTCCTGTAGATTTGATCTTATTCTTGTGCTTCAGGGTTTGAACGTTGCAAATTAGCCTTTAATATCTAGAAAAGGACTGGTAGCTTTAAAATCTGTGGTACTCTGGCATGCAGGAGTCATCTGCATCAACGCTTCAGAAGTTATTAGAATTTCGAGATGAGGTAACAAGGGAGAGACGTCTTCTTGAAGAAGAGCTGAATGATACAATGAATGAGCTGAATAAATTGCATGCGAAAGAGAAGAAAGCTGCGAAGTTGGTGAAGCGATTGGAACAAGAAATCAAATCTCAAGCTCTTGAACTTGCGCAGATGGAAGGGGAGTTGAAAGGGTTTGTCAAAAACTTTCTTATTCTAAAGCTTTGAAAGGAAAAATAAATCAGTGATAAGATGGAAGGGGAGTTGAAAGGGTTTGTCAAACTTTCTTATTCTAAAGCTTTGAAAGAAAAATAAATCAGTGATGTAAACAAAGCTTCCCAGCCTTACACCTGAATTAGAGACCTGAACAGATGTGAATTTATTTCTTGCTAGTTGTTGATTAGTCATTAGATCTAATTACTATCAGTAATGACTTAAATCAGTTTTATATTGTCTTAATTTAAAACTATTTAATTACTTGCTTGAAATGCCAGTACTGTAGTACTATGACATTGCTGTGAAGGATAAGCTACATGCATGTTGTATTGGATGTTTCTGCCCTGGAGAGGACAATGACTAGGGAAGATTTTCAAGGAAGTTGTTTCTGCCTTTCATGTGTTGAAAGTTTACTATTAGGTGTTCAACCTGTTCTATAGCTATCTTGGAAAATAAGGAGAGGGGGAAATGCTTAGTTAAATCTGCTATGAAGATTGTGCTTTAATAATTGAGAAGTTGTGGCAGAGAAGTTACTGGTTTGTCACAATTAGCTTGTTGCTGCCACTGCAAGCCCTCTGTAACTGACACAACAAACAGCATTTGGTAATGTGTTCGGACATACTTATCTCCAGCATGGGATGCTGAATTTTTATTTCAGGAAGAATGCTGAGTTGGAGCAAATCAATGGAATGCACCGCAATGCTGTTCTGCAAATCCAAGAAGAGCTTAGCAATACCTTGTGGAAACTTGGGGAGACTGTTGCTGAGTTTGAGAGGTATTTAAGTTCTGTTAAGATCTAGGATGGGGATTATCTCTAAGATTACAATAAAACGTCTGCTTATTCATGCCTTGGTACTTAACACTGCATGTGAGCATTCGTACAGTATTAAAGCAGGGAATTTTGTGGTGGTACTTCAGGGCATTAGAAATACATTTGTTCCTTTTGAGTACTGCTCAAGTGTAATGACATACTCAATATCTAGTTTCAGTAACTGGATGTTTCTTCTTCCAAAGTGTAACCAATTAGAATACTCAAGTGCTCTTGAATCTCAAGGAGAGCTGTAACTAGTGAAGAAGTTGGCTTTGCACTAAAACCTCTTGCGAAACAGCAAGCGTCTTGCAAAAGACTCCTTGTTTAGACTCAAAACTTGCACTGAATCAAGATTACTTTCCTACAGTTCTTGCAGATATTTCCTCTCAATATTCAAGTTGTGCAAGTATTTTAAAAGTGATAGGGTTATTTCGAAGTATGCAAGGCAGTAATGAAGGATCTAGTGGGATATTTGCCGATGCAAGCTGCAGATAGTAGGTCTTCTGGTGTTTAAAATAAGCTTCAGATATAGTAGGTATTTTGTTCTTTAACTAACAAAATGTGAAAGTATCTGTATTGCAGAATTTATCGTAGTGTTACTGCTTATGGCTTTATGGATATGTGGGGGTGCTTCACCTTTGGATTTATCAGTGCCAGAACACTGCCATACCTCCAGATCATAAAATCTTTTATACTTGCTAGCATGAGCTTGTATTGCTTTTGTAAGGCCTCAACATGTCAATCTCTATTTTGCCTAAAGAACAAGATTTTTTTTTCTTATTTCTATTGTAATACCAGCTACAAGAAGACAACAGCTGAAGAAATACGCAGTCTTAAACTGGAGAACACCTCTCTGCAAGAAGAAGTTGTCAATCTAAAAAAAATAGGCCAAGATAATCTACAGCTGCTTCAGGAAGCGGAATACACCAAAAACAAAGCAAAAGAAGAATGTGCAAGGTACTAGACAAACTTTTCCTTAAGCTAAAGAATGCCAGCTAAAACACCCCTTCTTAACTAGAACTTAACAGGGTGCTCTACCAGATAAAATCAGTAGTTGGTGTAAGCTTCAGTTTTTTCCTTTTCCTAGTACGGAGGGTTGAAACTATTGACAGACAGAATTCATTAAGTTTACGTGCATTAGAAAACTGTTCTGTTCAATCAATTGTTTGGACTTTTTCCCTTATGTGGAACGTGTAGGAAAAGGAAAACACCGAACTGAACTGCGTTGGAACATTGTCTTTATCAGAAATAGTACTTAGTGACTGCTCCGCAAATAAGATCCACAAGGGCAGACAAACAAGTGTTTAATGCAGAGCTCACCCTTTGCCACTCCATTACCTCAAACTCTTCTCGCAAACAGATGCCAATTAACTATCCATGAATTCCCACGGCAGTGAGGTAAAGGCTTTCTCTCTGCCTAAGATGAAGCACCACAGTGTAGCTGATGAGTAGTAACACCCAAGAAGTTGTCTTGGGCCACTAGCTGAGGACATGTTTCTCTGACTGCCTAACAGCAGCCTGAAGGTGTATGTTCTCCTTCCAGCTCACTGTGCAAGCATGAGCCAGCCCCTTGCTGTGAACAAGTAACTGACTGAGGAAGTGGGGGAGTTTGGCCTAAAAAGTTCCTGGTGTACGTTCACCTGTATTAGGCAACTGTGGTAGCTGCCTGACATGAGCTGCATCACAGAACACGTGTTGTGTGTGCTGGAAGATTTCCTTCCCTGCTTCTTTTCACGTAGTTCCTAGCTAGCTTCTGAATTTGAAGCTGGTTTTAAATCAACAACTATGCTCTAATCTTTAACTGTTGCATGTGAATAAATTAGATACCCAAGTGCATTAAAATGCTGTTTTAGCCAAACTGAATTGGGCATTTTGGATCTTCCCAACTCTCTCTTTGCTGATTTATAAAATGCCTCTGTAAAGGTTTGTAATGCTTCTGCTGTCTTGTTCACCTGTAGCCAGAACATTAAGATTGTCCCAAGGACACTTAGTGCTTACCCCAGCTTCTTTTAAAACACCTGTGCTGCTTCAGGTGCTGCCCTTGGTTTCCTCCCCACCTACTTACTATTGCCTCCAGTTTCCATTGGAGCTGGTAAAAGAAAAACAACTGAAGTTATTTCCTGCTTGAGTTGCTGGCTGAGCATGGCAGGGAAGGGAATCTTAGTCTCCACCTGGGTGATATAACAAACAGCTGAGGTTGGAGAGGGAAGGCAATGCTTTTAGTGTAGAGTTTTGAACTCTTCAGTACATCCACACTGAACAGTCTTGACCAGTTTCTGCTTTAATAGTTAGACTTCACATGCAGAGGTTTGCTCAAGAGTCTTGCACTGAAAGCTGCTGGCATTAAAGAGCCGTAAATAATAAACATAGGATCTTTCCTTGCTTGAAAAGCACTGCTTGCTTCTCAGAAGAAATTCAAAATATTGTGCATCTTGAACTTAATTGCTTTCTGTATTGTTGTTTTTCTCTTGTAGCACTGTTTGTGCAAACCTTTATTTAGTTCTTCTACTAACAGCTTTTCAATCACCGTTACTTGTGTTTTCAGATTTAGAGTAGTGTAAAAAAAAAAAAAAATTTAAGAATTATCTAAGGATGGATGATATTTTCCTCAGGATGCTTTTAGAAGTCCAGGCAAAGCTTGCACTAAAAGAAGCGGAAACAGAGAAAACGAAAGAGTCTTGCCTTGCACAAATGACTAAGCTTCAGGAAAAACTGGAAGAACAAATTGAAGATCTGAAAAGAAAACTCGCCATGGAGAGATCAAGGTGAGTTGTCTCAAACTAAACCTGCACATTAGAGCACATCAGAGTTTTAGTGTGAAGAAGTGCTGAGAGCCAACAGTGAACATAATGCAACTCCACTTCTTGCTTTTTAGGAAAACTGTAAATGAAGATGTGACCTCTAGCTTAAAAGAAGAGATAAAGACCTGGCGTAATCTGTATGAAGATTTACATAACAAAACTAAGCCTTTTCAGGTGTGTTATGAAGTTGGTGTTTATTAGTATCTGACTTAAGACTTGTGTAGTTGACTCAAGTTCTACTCTTGGGGAGTAAACAAGCTATTTCCCATTCTAAGGCATTTATCCTGCAGCGGTTTCCTAATTTATAATCCCGTGAGCCAGCTATTCCCCTTCCCAAACCAATCTTTGCAGATTTCAGTTCAGTAAAAAGCTGTGTTTATTTTGGAGATTTTGAAAAAGATTCAATATGTATTTCAGCAACAACTAGATGCATTTGAAGCAGAGAAGAATATGCTCTTAAATGAGCACGGTGCAGCCCAAGAAGAACTGAATAAACTAAGTGATGCATATGCTAAACTACTCGGCCACCAGAACCAGAAGCAAAAAATCAAGCATGTTATGAAGTTGAAGGAAGAGAATACCCACCTGAAGCAGGTTTGTGAAATGAGAAGTTAGAAATCTGTAAGTTACTAATTTGCTTGATTCTTTGTTGCTTTAAATATTTATAGACTAATCCTGCAAACTACTTGCTCTCTGTAGTTCTTACATTCCCTGCTGGATTAGAATAAACCACTGGCTTCCAGAAACACAGAGAGCATTTGTTTTGGTTTTGACCAAATAAATGATGGACAGAGGGATCACCAGTGCAAATAACTATCCCTACTCTTAGCTTGGTTGGTTTTTTCTTACTTCTTTTGGAGGTTCTAGACTTAGTAAACTATCTGCTGAAAGCAGCAGCTGAATGTTTCAGGCTACCATACTGCTTAGTGGTGTTACACAGCAATTAGACAGTGGTGCTGGTTTCTCTACACCTCTATGTTTGGATCTGGTTTGGTTTTTAATGCCACCAATAATTGTGTACGTATGTTTGTGTTCAGTGTTAGTCAAAAGGGCTACTTCAGTAAATGATGAAGCAGGCTTTTCTCCTGTTCTTAATCTAACTTCCAAGTATCCTGTTTTCTTCAGGATGTCTCAAAACTGCGTGCATTGCTAGCAAAAGAAAAGCAAATCAACAGAAATCTTCAGGAGCAACTATATGCAATTCATGGCATTAGGCGTTTTGATCCTTCCGAAGCTTTCCAGCATGATAGCAAGGAAAATATTCCTCCAAAAACTCCTTTTAAAGAAGGTAAGCTTAGGTATTGATGTAACCATGTCCTTGTTCCTCTCAAATTTAACCAGAGGTGACATGAGTCTTGCCTAGTCTGCTGCGTTTGGGGAGGAAAGGGGAATGGCATCTCGTGTGTCTGACACCAGACATCAGGAGGCTGCCTCGGTGGGCACTGCCAGCGCGCCGTTTGCTGCCGTGCTTTCCAGGCGGGTTTCTTGTGCCCTGACCTGGGCAGGGGGCATGTCAGGTCAGACCACTGAAGGTGTGTTTGCTGGGGGGGAAGATGGAGTGAGTTAGAGACACAGCTGGTTTGCTTCTCTGGCAAGTTGTGGACTTGGCTCTGCCACCGTGTATCACCTGCGGCTTTCCTGCTGTCAGGCACCTCACGCACTGGGGTGGCAAGGGTGAAGTGGTCCAGCCAGAGGTTTGAGCCCTGGTTCTTCAGCTGCTACCTGGCAGGATGTTACACTGCGGTAGGCCTAAAGGCAAGACGCAAAAGGCCTGCGGATGAACGTGGAGTGGAGGGAAAGATGGCAACAGCGCAGGGATGCACGAAGAGAAGCAGCGTAGGAGAGAGCTGGGAGGGTATAGATCTCGGCCAGGCCTTCACTTCACACTATATTCCAAAGCCTGAAAGTCTGGCTTGCCTGTAATGTGGAGTGTAGTGCCTTCCTCCCCCACCCAGCAGACACATGTGGTGGGAGCAATAGTGGAGAAACCCAAACTTAATAACATTTTTCCATTGCAGGTAATAAAAACAAAATTTAATCTCTTCTTGGTATTAAGAAAAACATCATTAATTGCCAATAAATTCATGTACTACAGAAGACTTCAACAGACTACTTGTTCGAGGTGAACTTGGATGCTGTATATAATGCAAATTAGTGCAAGTACTAGATAAGTGGTCTAAAACCACATATTTTTAGAAGAACTGTTTGGTTACGCTCTTACTGAGAAGCCATAGGTGAATGGTAATTCAGATGGTAATTACCAGACTCCTGGTAATGTCATTGCACTCTTGAACTCCAAAAAGTATTCACTGGTTCACCTTTTTTGCAAGCTGAAGCTGCTTTGTTTTTGACAGAGCAGCTTAAGTTCAGAAAAGGTGAGTAAGTACTGGAGGGTAAGGATGACAAATGAAATCTGATTTCATGAAAGGTGGTGGGGTTTTTTTGCATCTCTCGTATATATGATTTTGTTAAATTTTGCTGTTTATGGTTGTTTCAATGCCAAAGGCAGAATGTTGCCAAGAGAACCTTTTTCCTCTGTGGCCTATGTAATACAGAACCAACATAGAAAACTGGGCTGTACAGTTAGTTTGTATATTCTTAGTGGGATCTGTATTGGGGACATGCTAATTTAAATCCTGGGGCTAGGTATTGCAGGTGTTGATCTTCAGTAGAGGATTTTTCAGGTCAAACTCAAACAGACTGCATTTACCCAGATGTTTGCAGACTGTAGCTAAGATGGGTGTCTTGAGAGAAATGTCTTTTATGAATGCTGTGCTGGCTGGACTCTTACAGTGTCATAGTATCTTTGTAGCCTGCTGCTGTAATGGATCAATGCAGTGTGAAGGGGAATAACAACAGAACTTGTCTTAACTGGGTGTATATTCACTGTATGTGCATTCATTGTATGGACCTGAATTTTGGCAAGGTGGAAAGAAACTGTTTAACTGCATCTAAATTTAATAACATTTTAGCACAATAAAAATTTTATATTTAAGAATTTGCCTATTTCTTTCACAAACATGGATAAAAGCCAAAATTAAATTACTTGGTGTAATTGACCTAATGTTCTTCGTTCTAGTGTTAGATCTTCATAACAAAGCCCAATGTCAGTCTTGCCTCAAAGACTACATATTCTCTAATCTTACAGAAATTATTTAGCTTTAACTGTACAATACACACAACCTGCAATTCCCTTATCCTCTCTTTTCCTGAGGACTGCTCATAATACAAAAGTAAATACTGGAACCGAAGTGAAACGTGGAACTCTGTGCTCTTGTTGTATCTACTAACACTGTGCAGACGGGTGCTGCAGAGACAGGGCACAAAGCTTGGCAGGTTGATTATGTCACCACTTACACCGACCTCACAAACTTACTGAGAATTGATAATGCCTAGGAAATGAGCTACTGGAAATGCACGTTAAGCCCAAGGGGAGCAATTGCTAGCTCTTGTTAAGGTCATCTTTGTGTATTTGATGGACTACTTGAACTTCTGAAGACTGAGGATGAGGATTAACTTCAGGTGTTAGAGTTGAGAAACATTTGGTGTTCAATTTAGCAGTTTGCCTGAAGTGTTGAGGCACATTCTAATAAGAAAGTTGCTGAAAGAATTTGCTATAGGAGTTAACTCTCCTTGTGGGGAAAAAAGATAAATGTTTTCTTGTCTGAAAGATGTAAATGGGGTAAAAGAAAATTGTAGAGGGAATGTGTATTAGTCTGACTCGGATAAGAACATGGTCTTGCTAGAAATCCTGATGTTAGACTAGCCGGTGGCTGTGACATGAACGGTTGGTTAAACCCAACTCCATCTAGCAGGGGAAGGAGCGATGGGGGGGTGGTAGTGGAAACCTGTAACCAACTAAAAATGGAAGAAGTAACGCTCTACAGCTATTATACTAGAGGGTTTTCTCACAATATGGCATTAAATTTTAATCCATAAAACTCAAAACATGGAAATGGGGACACTGAGTTAAGGTACTTTTTCTTTTTTTCACTGAACCTCATTCTTCACGTTTGACATGTCGGGCGTATAGTTATCAAGAGTTTGTCAAAGGGTGCAAGTATACAAAGTGGAGCAAAGTACTGCAGATATCCCAGGACTACGCTTTTATGATGGCTACGTACTTTTTTTCATTCTGAAAACTTTCTAGCTTAACTGGCCCTTTTAAATCCTTTTTAGTCTACCACGAGCATGCTTATATTGAGAAGAGAATAGGGAAACTTTAGCAAATAATTCTGCTAGCCTTGAAGTACTGTTGATTTTTTTGGTTTAGGTCTAAAATGTAGATAAATAAGGTAGAGCAGACTGGGGAGAGAAGTAAAGAGTGGAAGTAAAGGGAAATAGTGCTTTGTGTCAACTTCAATCTAAGTGGTTTTGCCAGTTCCGTGAACCCGTGAAACAAGTGTGAAAAACTGCAGCCTTGAAACCGGCAGCTCAACTGACTTAACCATTCACTGCAGGAATCACTTTCATGTTGTGGCACATATCTTTTTTTTTGGTTGAAAAAATATATAATTTAACAAGAAATTGTTTCTCTGATCATCAGTCTCACTGTATTGTAGCAAAATCTGGGTTGTATACTTAGTTTAAATGTAAACTGAAAAGCTGCCAGAATCCTCTACCTGGCTGCCTGAATGAGAGCCCTCCTCTGGTTTCCTTCAAAAGGAAAACTGTGTTAAGACTCAGTGCCAGTGCTTTGAATAAATTTTATACACACAATGGCTGCACTTGCTCATGCTGGCTGTTACGAAATGAAAATTTAATTCATGCTGAGCTACTTAAATGGTACCACTGGGAATAAACCAAAAGCTTAACAGGATTCAGACACGTGTGCTATAGGGAGGGCCTGGATTAGTGTTTTGGTTTCTAAGGTCAGCTGAGCTATTGCTGCTTCCAGTCCGTGTGCTCTCTGCAGGCAAGAGCAGACAAAGGGACAATCGCGCAGTTGAACTGCAATAATTTCCTAGGCTACTCCTGTAGTTCGAGGCAATGCCTGAAATGCTGGTGGAAATGGAGCAGGTAAGGCTCTGGATGTTTGCATGAATAGATCGCTGCGACGCTTGGGTTCCAGCAGCTAGAGAAAAGGAAAGGGGAGGAGAGAGGCTTAATAATTACGCTTTAGTCTCTGCAAATTACAGTCTGAAATGGTAATTTAATGAGTGGTGCATTACTCACACGGTGATGCATTATGCATAAATGACTGTGATATTGGACTATAATAAAGTCTTTGCTTAGCTAGCCCATGAAATCAGTGTTTCATAAGGTGAATATATTAATTAGAAATTGAAAATATGAGCTAGAATTGTTCTGAATGCAATGTAAATATTTGTGGAAAAAATACTGTCTTACGTTATGAAGATAACAAATTACGCTTAATTTTAGTAACTGCTACACTAGTGACAAAAATGTGAAGATATGTCACAGGCCAATTCTTGGCTCTAGCTTGAGATTCGAATGCTTTCCCTATTTTCGTCTTGCTTTAAGCCTGGAAGGCAAAACTTCTGTTCCCAGGTCATTGTTCTTGTGAAGATGTTCAGTGAGCTCTTTCGGTCTGTGTCAGGAGGAAGGGGTGTGATGTTAGATGTGCTTGGAGTTGTTCCCTTGGTGCTCCTGAACAGTTCAGTAGATTCGTAGGGTTTTTCTTCTTCTGAATTTCAAGTTACACATTACTGATATTTTTTTAATAGAAATTCTAAGGTTAATGAAAGGAATTAAATGTCCATAGCTGCTTGTAAGGAAAAACAGGGCCTCTGCATTCCAAGAAGGCAGAAACTAGCTAGAGTGGTTTATTTATGTATACTCTTTTTGTCCTGTGAATGTCACTTGTTTGTTATAAGTAATGGTCATTTACAATAGGATTCTATTGAATTTTTAAGTTTTTCTGATTTCACTTTAACTGTGTGTTAATTGCTGTAGTATCAGCTGGCTTTCTCCCTTGACTACTCATTAAGTGTTGTTTTCATGAATTTATCAGGTGAAGGTACAAGTGTGAATGTACCTAAACTAAGTCTTGGCTACTCCTTCGTGCACCTACTTGACTTCAATCCTGATGTTAAAACCAAGGTTAGGTACGCTGTCTTTGCCTTCGGGTGGGTTGGAAGGGTCACAGTAAAAAGCTTTGTAGCTGGACTCATGTTACTTAAAATGCTTGCATTTAAAGAAAAAAATGAACGTTCTTCTCTTTTCAGCATAAAATTACGTATATAGGATGAGTACTCCAAGCAGCGATTGCTTTCTCTGTAGCAGTTACCAGTCACTTCTCTATAAAGCTAGGGCCAGAGGCAATTGGAAAAGGCACGGAACTTCCTACTCTGCCAAGAGGGAAAACAACCCCTTGCTCTTGTGCTCCATTCGCAGTAGCTCTCAGCAGCCACGTCAGGGGTTTTGCTCTAGTTCAGAGTTTCACCTCACAAAGGGCGGGACCCCCTCCTTCACTTCATACCAACGAACGGGTCACGTCAGAGCTCCGGAAGAGGCGATCGCTCTCGTACCTGGGGTTACTCCTTGAAGCGCCCCAAGCGAGTTCAAAGGCCGGCGCCACCCCCCAGCCAGCGCGGCAGGCGGGGCCGGTACCGCTGGCCCTGCCC